CTACTCTAGCTAGTGTCCTTAACAAGAGTTTCATTCATATATATATATATTCACATTTAACCAAAGTTTGTCCTTCTCTTGTCATGTGTTAGGAAGAGGAGAGTTTGGTTGGGGACGTTTGAGACGGCGGAGGAGGCGGCTAGAGCGTACGACGAGGCGGCGGTTCTCATGAACGGCCGCAACGCCAAGACCAACTTCCCCGTGGCCGCGGACCACAACGGGGGCGGTAAGGATAATAACAACGGTTCTAGCTCGGTCTCTTCTTCTTCTTCTTCTTCTTCGTCGTCGTCTTCTCTGGCGGCGATCCTGAGCGCGAAGCTCAGGAAGTGCTGCAAGTCGCCGTCGCTGACTTGCCTCAGGCTCGACACCGAGAACTCGAACATCGGAGTCTGGCAGAAGCGCGCCGGCGCGTCCTCTGCCAACTCGAGCTGGGTGATGACTGTGGAGCTCGGGAAGAAGGCCGCCGACCGCGCTCCGCTGCTGGAGCAAGAAATCCCGGTGGAGGTGATTGGCGGCGCCGCCGGGGACCAGATGGCCGTGATAAGCGAAGAGGAGAGAATGGCATTGCAAATGATCGAAGAGCTCCTAAATTCAAATTGATACGTACTATACATACATACAATCCCGTTGACCACATATATATATATAGTAATAAAGGTCAAATTGTTTTATTAAAAGTTCACATTATTAATCTCAGATAGCAATTTTACGTAATTATTTTCCAATTCAATAAGTGACATTGTTGCTTCCAGAATATCTTATCTCAGGGTCATTTATTGGAAAGAGGAGTAATTATTTAAAATCACATCATTGATTTTGAGAGTAATGATGTGAATTTTTCATTTTTTTAATTAAAATTAGAAAGAATAATTATTCGAAGTAGGAGTATATATTGGAAAAATGTTACTTAGATGTGACAAGGTGACATTATATTTCAGAAACCATCTATAGTGATAGTGTCAAGCACTAAGGTGTATGTCATTTGTTTGTATTATTATTGTTATTATTAGATCCCACAAAAAATACTCCATCCGTTCTCAAAAACACTTCCTCTTTCATTTTTTTCACTTCCAACAAAACACTTCCCCTTTCTATTAAAAAACCACTTTTACCCTTACTTTTTTATACCCTACATATCACATCATACTTTTTCTCTAAAAATAAATCCATCACATCTTACTTTTACCCATCACATCAGGGGCAAAATTGGAAGTCCACTATAATTTTACACTTCTTTATTTTGCCTTATAGTCAAAGTGGGAAGGCTTTTTCCAAACAGAGGGAGTAAAATAATGTACTAAATATATTCTTTTAGAGACCAAATATTGTACTTTTATATGTTTTCATTTTTTATTTAAGGTTTTTATAATATGTACAAAATAATATTTTTGGTATTTTGTCTCATGTATTGGAAGAATTGGTCATTAGAGGGAGGGAAAGGTACAAATATAGGTTGTAAAACAGTTGTCAATTATTCGAGTTTGGAGCTCAAATTAAATGCTTGATGTATATGTATATGTCATCTCAGCTCATGTATAAATTATACTTCCTCCGTCCTAAAAAGATTTTCCTGTTTCATTTTTTGCGCGTCTCATAAAACACTTCTATCTCGCCTCAAATGCAAAAAAAACTTTTTAAACAATTTCTACTTACAATAAATGAGAAATGTGGTAAATTTTAGACATTTTAGATGTGTATAGAAGTGTTTTATAGGATGCGCAAAAAATGAAACAAAAAGATCTTTTTAGGATGAAGGGAGTACACACTACTTACGGATCCGAGTATAATAAATAAATATATAGTGCTACCACGACTAGTTGCATGCATATCTTCGATTTGGACTTGGCATAATCTTAATGGTGACGTGTGTCTATAGCTAATTTATAAACAAATATTTTTATTAAATAACATTAAAAGTTAAGTCATTTTCTTAAATAACACTTAAACTGTTTTAGTTTTTGATAGCATTTAATAATATCCTGAACGAGGAATAATGTCCAGTGTTACTTGAATAATGACTAATGAGAGAAAGTCATTATGTTTTAGTGTTATTTAAGTAAATTTTCCATTTATTAATTGGGCAAGGTTCCCATGACATTGGGAACCAAGGTGTTATTAATTAGTGTGTTTGCTCCACCTTATATACTCCCTAATCCTTTTCAATCATCTAAATTAGATGGAATTAATGTAAAAATAGTAGAGTACTCGTCACAAAAGGATGGTTGGTGTAACGCCCCAAAACATACCGTAGAATTATTAATAGATAATCATTCAATTAATCAAATTTGTTTTGATTAAAATTAATTATTGTTGGGCTTTAAGCCAAAATAATATGTGTTTAAATATACAATGTTACAATCAGGATAAATCTCATAGAGATAATTCAAAAATGTTGACTTATTCTGTGACCTTGATTGGGAACCTGAGTACGGACCCAAAATCGAGAATAAATGAATAATGTGTTTATGATGTAAACTTTGAAATGGTTTATGCAAATAAATCATGAGAATAAATAATATGAATTAAATATGAGCACCTTTTTGAGTAAAGGTCAAACAAATCAATTTTGACTCTTTCAAAGTCAAACACCAAAAATATGATGTCGGAAAAGGTAAAACAAATAAATGTAAAAATTATATCGTTGGATAGAGCTTAATTGCATGATCGCAACGGTGCAAACGGATTTCAATTCGGAGAAAGTTGGACAAAAAAGTATACCCCGACTGGGACCAAATTAGTCCCAATCAGGGAGTAACGTGTTGAATCTCCTTAAGTCGCACTATCCACTACAAGAAAACTGTCGATCTGCCACGGACAAATTCCGTTGCAGAATTTGAAATTCCGTGGCAGATTTAAATTCTGCGACGGACCTGCAACGAATATTTTCCATCGCAGAAAAGTTGTGGCAGATTTAAAATTACAATCTCGATTTTTAGTAATTATCCTGCGACGGATCTGCGACGAATGGCTGGGAAAATTACAATCTCGATTTTTAGTAATTACCCTGCGACGGATCTGCGACGGATCTAAGAGTCCGTCGGAGATTATCAGGTCAAAATTTGACCAACTTGAATTTGCAACAGGCGAAAATAATCCGTCGCTGATTTGCGACGGGCAAATAGGATCTGTCGCAGATTATGCTTATTTTTCAAGGATTATACTTCCGTTGCTGATTCGTTGCAGATCTGCTACGGAAATGAGTCCGTAGCAGATTTCCGTTGCAGATCAGACAAATTCTTGTAGTGATCGCATTATTGTGTTTGATCTGGTCTGATTGGATCTAGTCTGATCTGATTGGATCTGATCTGATTCAATTTGATCTAATTTGATTGGATCTGATCTCATCTGATTAGGTCTGGTCTGATATGATATGATCTAACTTTAATAAAAATAAGTAATAAGTAGAAAAAATAAGTTCTAGGGAACGGACCCTACTTGACTGCTTATCATCATTCGTTGTGGTCCAAATAAGTAATAATGACATACACTTAGGCTACATATGTGTTGTGTAACACCCTAATCTGTCCAGGTCTGCAGCTTTTTTCGGGCCAAAAGTATAAACTTGGTTATCGTAAAATTTAAAACATTTCAAACATTTTTATTTATCACCATGATATTATTTATAACAGAAATAGTACGGAGTTTTCAATGTTTCAGAATCTTAACAAATCATAACCACAAAACATAATTAATTTATGTCATTCAATTCAAAATCATCACATCCATCACGACTGTCTCGCCTCCATTTGCCGCCAGAATCATGTTACATCATTATTTCTATTTACCTATATGTAGCAAATAAAATATATTACATACTCAACGGTGAATCTGAGTAACTATATTTCTAATACATCAAACATCCATATAAATTGAATTTCAATTCATAATCAAATCATTAGATATCATGCAGGCTCAATATTCAACATTCATAGTGTCAACAATGCTCTTAAACTAATACTTGGTTGTGTTGGTTTTTAAAGTTGGTTTTATTTTTATTAATCAATAACATATAATTCCATCTCATCTTAAATAATCATAATCACTACAAAATCCCTACACAGGAAGGAAACAAATCAAATTAAACCTAACCATGACCAGTGGTGGGGGCTGAATGATTAAATAAGTGGGTTGGAGAGTGTAAGACGGGTAGTCGGTTTCGGGGTATTTCTCCAGTTTTTATTTTTTCCAGTCAACTAATTTCTAACTTTGATATATAACTAAATAAAATATATACTCCCTCCGTTCCACAAAACACTTCCGTTTTAATTTTTTGCGCACCCCATAAAATACTTCTATCCCACCTAAAATGTCTAAAATACCCCTAAAACAACTTCTACCCGCAACAAACTACATAGTGGGGTATATTTTAGATATTTTAGGTGGGAGTAAAAGCGTTTAATGAGTTGCGCAAAAATTTAGGGCGGAAGGGTTTTAAGGAACGGAGGGAGTATTATATATTAATTAGATAACATATAATTTTAAAAATATTTTATATAATAAATCTAATAAAATTATATTTGTATTAATATATAATATTATTTTTATTTAATTTGAGAAGAACTTTACCAATTTTAATCGAGAAATAAAAAATAGACAAATTTTCCCTGATGTCATGGAGAATAAATAGGAGTCCATATATCAGTGTGACACCATCACTAACGAGAAAGCAAGCTTTTAATTTGGACCAACGATCCCTTATTTATTTGTGATGTTTACTGTTTGTTTGCTGTGTTGTTTGGTTCCATAAAGCACAAGAAAACAAAAAAACAAACGTACCCCGCACTGGTTATTATATACACGTAGTAATAATAATGGAGTTTACAAGAAATGCATGTCTCCAAATTATTATAAGAGCAAAATTTAATCAAAGAAATGTCTCCTAATTACTAGAGTAAAATTTAATTGGAATATAAATATAAAGTACGAGTGTCGTATTTTTAATTCTCTAAATAAAAGTCTGATGATAGTGTAATTCGCAATGAACGCATAATAGTAATGTGTAGTGGTGGACCACCTGTCAACAGTGATCAACACCAACGACCAGTTAGCGGCGTCTTGCAGTGGCACCGTGTGGGATCCCGCGGCAGCAGTCAGCGGCACTAGAGCAACCACACGGCTAAGGAGCAGTAGTAAGGCGGGGCTCGGGGGCCCACGAAGCCCCAATAGTTTTTAATTAAAGTACTTTAAAGGTATGATTAAGAAAAAGAATTTTACATCAAACAAATTAAAATATTTCGAAAGTAAAAAATATAGACAAGTTTTTATGTGCTTCTAAGGTCTCCACTAATTTTATGAACCTAAGTGCATAAACACCAAAAAAAGATTTGAGCTTTTTGAACATGTGAACTTTATAACCATAGAAGCACAATTCCAAAATATAATACTCCCTCCATCCTAAAAAGAACGTCACAATTCATTTTTTAAAAAACACGAGAACTTATGTTTATTCGTACGTTTTCATTAATTTTTTTATAAAAATAAAATATTTTTTTCACCTGTTATTTTGAGGAACAATCACGTAGTTTTTAAATATATTTTTTAACTTTTATACCAATCTAGCTCTAAATAAAATGGAACAGAAAAATCTAAAATTTCACTTCAATTTGTGTAATCGGACAAACATTTTGAGAGGGAGAGGGTACTAAATAAATAGAGTGTTGAACTTAGATTCTTTAGGATTTTTTATGTAA